TCTTGATGTCATCCCACAACTCTTCTGGTCTTCGGTCTTTAATGTTTAATGTATCAAATCTGTTCTTCAGATGATCTCTAAATTCAGGTGAGATACATTCAAGGTCATATTTTGGTTCTCGTGGACTTGTTTTCATTTTCTTCAGCTTCAGTTTGAATTTGCACATCAGTAATTGATGGTCTGTTCTTTGTAATTCCCACCAAACAACATTTTGACCCTGAGGGAACTGGGTAAGATAAGGTGGGCGGCAATGCTGGCAGGAAGATACAGTTCCATCATGAGTGGTTAGCAGGGTTAGCTGTGATGCACAAACCTGGAACTCCACTATGGATGGCAAGTGAGTCATCTCACGCAGGGGGATTTCACTCCCACTGAAAGAGGGCCAGGAGCGGAGCATGCCCTTTAGGCCCCGAGATCCCTACACACTGAACCTCCTTGACCCAAGGACAGGAAGCTGACACCCAGGGACAGGAAGCTGACACAGAACAGTGGACTTCCCAACCCACGGAGCAAGTGAAGCGGAGTGACTGGAAACAGAAAGCTTGCTTGTAGAGTGGGGTGCCTCTGAGCACTTAACTAGGGGAGCCAGGTTTGCTGACCCAAGGTGCTCGAGGCCTATGGTGGAGGGCTGCATCCTGTGAGCATTTATCAGCAACCTGGAAAGAGTTCTGTAACATTGCCTGTGGGCACGGCTAGCAGGCAGCTGTCCTGACTGGAACAAGTGTGCCCTGAGCTGCACCCTCTGCCCCTCCCTAGGAAGGCCTGTACCTGTGAGTACGGTGCCTGAGTTCTCTGTGACCGTTGCAATGAGTGACAGAAGCCAGTGAGTAGAGAGGGTCCTGGAAGGGGTTGTCGGTGTCATTTTTCCAGGACCCTTGGGCTCGTGTGTAAATGAGCAGACCAATGTGGAGGGGCCGTGACATACAGCCGCCTGACTCACTATACCTCTGGAGTAACACAGGAAGTAGCACTGTAGGACACACACTGGACTGCTCACTGAAATTGCCCCATGGAAACCCTATACGGAGTCACTATGAGTCAGAACAACGGAAGTAACACAGGAAACTAGACAACTGAGGCCGAGAGACGAGACACCTCAGCTATGCAGAGCCAAGAATGACCCCAGGAGACAGAAAATCCACCTGAAGCTACTAGAGGGTGACTCTCAGGGCTCAAAGGGGTGCACTCATGCCAGCGGATTGCCATCTCAGGGATACCAGAAGAGCCTGCTGGGAAACAGCTCAGCTTGCCCGGCTGGCAGGTGGACTCACCAATGGCACGCAGGGCGTGCTGGAGTTCCAGGGCGAAGGCGGGCAAGGGCACGTCCTCCGACACCGGCATGATGGCTACCGTGGCAAGGTTGCTAGCTGGGTTCCCCATGTCCCACTGGCTGCCCGCTGTGGGGATCCCATGCTGGTGACCTGCGGGGACAAACACAGAGTCAGGCCTGGGAGGCCCAATGCGCCCCCTATAGCCCCTCAGCACTCTTGAGAGAAAAGGATCAAACGTGGGTATCCACATAGCAGCAGTCACACAATGCTCTGCTGGCATCTACTCTATCTGGGCCCCTGGGCCCCTGGGCCCCCCCCCTCCCCAGATACACACAAACCTACTCCTATGGGTCTGAGCTAGAGATCACTAACAGGAAAACAGCAGAAATGTTTGTGATCATTTGGAAATTCAATAACATGCTTGTAAGGAATTGATGGGCCAAAGAAGGGAGTCTCAAGGACTGTGAGAAAATATTTCTTAACTGAATGGAAACTTAAATAGGGCACATAAAATTGTGGGGTGCTGTTAAGAGTCGTGTTTAAAGGGAAATCTGCAGTAGATCAGTACTAAAATGGTTACGTTAAAAAAAGTAAGGTCTCAGGTCAAATTATCTGAAGAAATTTTTTAAAAGCAAAATAAATCCCAAACAAACATAATGAAGTAAAAACAAAGAACAGAAATAATGAAATGGAAAACAAACGAAAAACAGAGAAAACCAATGGAAAGACCAGTGAAGTTGTACCAAGATTGGCAAGGCAAAAAGACACAAGTTGCCAACTTCAGTAATAAAAACAGAGCTCTCACTGCAGACATTACCAGGACAATAAGCGCCTTGTCAGTGGGCACACTGACCCTCTGGATCAAACTGGGGAACCCTGATGTGCCACCAACATTGAGTCTCCCATCCATGATCTACTTCTCCATTTAGTCATTTACATTTCCTTGGATTTCTTTCACTAGCATTTTGTAGTTTTCTGCATACAAACCTTGATATACTTTGTTGGATTTAAATCTAAATTCTTATTTTCTTTCTTTTTTTTTCCCCGGTGCTCTTGTAAATAATACGGTTTTCTCAATTTCAAACCCAAGTGTGCTCTGCTGGCATCAGGAATACCAATGACCCCTTGCATCCTGTAACCTTAGTAAACTCATTCACTAGATCCAGAATTTTCTACATTGTTTGGAATTTTCTGCACAATCTTTATATAAAGGCAGCTCTGCGTCTTCTTTTCTAACATGTTGTTGCTAGCTGCCACCTGATAGTAATCCAACCTATGCCAACGGAACACACCACCCACTGCTGCGCCATTTCCACAAGCGTTCCTGTTTGCAGTCACTAAGGCAATCTACCTCACTGGGGGCCTTCCTTTTCCACTGACCGTCCACTTCACTAAGCATGATATACTTCTCCAGGGACCGGTCCTCACAATGGCATGTCCAAAGTACATGAGACCGAGTCTCCCCATCCTCGCTCCTAACACGAAGCCTTTGAATTGTCTCCTCTGCCTGCCTGCTGTGTAGCATGGTGAGAACGCCCCTGGTCCTGAGAGCAAGGGGAAAGCGGTCTGCCACTGTGGGCTCTGATGTTAGCTGTAGGTTTGTTACAGCCTGCTTTAGGTTAAGGGTCTTTCCTTCTGTTCCCTTTGCTGAGTTTTCATTATAAATAAATACTGAATTTTGTCTAATGCCTTTTTCTGCATGCACTAGTCTTTCTGACTTGGTTCACTAATATAAGGCGCTCTGTTCACAGATGTCTGAATGGTGTGTCAGCCCAGGTGAGACCCAGTTGTTTTGACACGTTGTCCTTTTTCCAAGCTACTGATGGGCTCTGCTGTTTTTGTCTAGGGTTGATGTCACTGTAACGTTGGTTTCATAAAATATGGTGGTTTTATGAACCAAAACGTGACCAAATTTATACAATTATCAACAAAACCCAATAGTGTGTGGAAAAACTGATGGAATCCAAACAACATGGGAAGGTCCATCAATGTCCCTGGTCCAGATACTTGCACTGATTATGTTAAGATGTTATCACTGGGGATGCTGGGCTGGGGCGGAAGTATAGAGCAATTATCTGTATAATTTTTACAATCTAAAATTATTTCAAAATAAAAACTTTTAAAAGTTGGTTCATCATCCTCATAAAGCTTGCATTCGTTATTATATTTTTTAGCAGATAACCTCTAACATTATTAGTGTAACCTTATCACACAAAAATGAACCGCTGTTTGTTATTGAAACATGTAAATGACATTTTCCCATGAAAGGGTCTGTGAGAGCCACGTCCCCTTGGGCAGCGGCCAGGCTCTGGGACCAGCAGGGGGAGCCGCTAAGTCAGGGCTCTGTTTGTTCAGACCTGAGGGCTGCAGGACCCCCACTCCCTGGGGCGTCCTGCCTGTGGTCCCTACCACTCACCCCTCCCGTAGACACTTAGGGTCCTGCACTGAGGAACATGCTGGACAGTGGGCACCCAGGCAGGGCAGGGAGGAAGGCAGAGGGGAAGGGGAAGCTTGTAGGATCAGTGTGCTGGGGCCTAGGAGATGGTAAACAAACTGGCAACTGGAAAACAAAGAAACGTTCCTGATGTTCTAGAGTGTTCTCTTCATCTTTGTGCCCTAGCGCCCTCAGTCCTGCTCCATGCTCTCCCCACCTTCCCGCCTGCCCCCCTCTAGTGTGGTCTACATCCAGACCACATAGAGCAGGACACTCTGCTACTGGACACACCTGACCCCTCATGCTCTAAGAGGGGTTCCTGGCACAGGGGTCCACTGTCCTGCCCTGGAGGTGGAGGGTGTCCTGTGTGGGGTGGGGACTCACCTGCTGCAGTTCCCTGCTGGAGGTTGCCTAAGATCTTCTCACCCAAGAGGTGGATCAGTCGAGTCACCACCTGGAAAGACAACACAGAGAGCCCGACTCAGACACCACAGACCAAGGAGTGCGGGGACCCTGAAGGCCCCCACACTGCAGACCAAAGAGCATTGGGGTCCTGTGTTCCCCCACATACAGACCAAGGAGCACTGGGACCCCATGCCCCCCCTATATAGACCTCTGGGAGCTCGTGTGCTCACACAGTGACAGACTCAGGGAATGGACGCATGATCCACCTGGCTGTACGCAGTGCTGGCCTGGAGGGAACAGGGAAAGCGGGCATCTCCCCACTGCCTAAGTGACACCATACCAGGACCAGTGGGTGTGACCCTGGAAGAGAGGGCGGTCACTCCACCCCATACTTCCTGTGTGCCATCGAGTTGGTTCCGACCCATATCAATCCTGTGTAGGGTTTCTGAAGTGCAGCTGGTGAGCTTGAACCACCAACCTTGCAGTTCAAACTGACTTTGCAGTTCACACCAGGACTCCTGCCCCGAAACGCTTCCCTCTGTGTCCACCCTTGTAAAAGCCCAAGCTGTCCCCACGTCCCATCTGGCTGCCCTTGCCCTGGTGTGGCTGTGCCGCACACCTCCATTTGCTGGGTCAGCCTTGGGCCTGATTAGCCAGGGCCACATCCCTACCTGGGGGTACTTGCGCTTGATGGACGTCAGGGCTCCTGCAGGCAGCTTGGCCAGCTCTGAGTCCCGAACGGCGTGCACGGTGGTGACCCTGGCCTGATGAGTCAGCGTCTCCACCTGTGAGAGAAGCCAGACCCAGACCGACAGCTTGGAGAGAACCTCCCCCGAGGGGCGACAGAGCCCTGGCCAAAGCCAGAGTCAGGCCAGAGGGCAGAGGGTACAGCGGCAGGCCTCAGCTCAGGGCCTCCCAGCAGGACAGGAGAGCACACCTTAGCCCCTAGATCCAGAGCCCAAGGCCAGGGACAAGAGAGGGCTAACTCTGGGAGTGGACTCTAGCCCGGGAAGCATGTGGGCATTTCCCAGACCCTCTTTCGAGCTGAGTGGGGAGCCCAGGTCTCAATGAGCAACAGCTTCCCTAACAAACCTGGGGACAAGCCAGGAAAGCCTGGGTCACACTGGGGTGGGTCTGGGGCATGAATGAGGAAGTTGTACAGCCCCGGGGGGGCAGCTCCTCCCTGGGGAGCACCCTCACTTGGGGACACAGGTAGTACAACTGCCTACATGCTGGGTGGGGGCAGAGTGCCACCCTTCTAGAGGTCGCAGCCCTACTGCTCCTACTACCCAGGCAGCCACGCCTCCTGGGGGTACCCTGACCCTGACCTCTAAGGTATGGGCATGTCTGGGGGGGGGGGGTTCCCAGGGCTCTGAGAGCCTCAGAGGTCAGAGCACAGCTGCACCCAGAGAGGGGTCACCCTTCTCACAGGGGCATTGGGGTGGCTCTGCCCAGGCCCACGGGGGAGGGCACCAAGATCCTTACCACACCAATGAGGTCTCCACGGCCATACTCGCCAGCCAAGCGCTTCTTCCCATCATCCTTCCGGATGACCGAGCGCAGTCTACCACTGAGGACAATGTAGGTACAGTCTGACTTGTCTCCCTGCCTGGGGGGCATAGAGAGTTATTGAAGGGTACAAAAAGGTGCCCAGCTCCAGGACCTCTCCCAGCCTTCCAGTCCCAACCCTGAGTCACTCTGGCCCCTCACGTCCACATTTCACTTGTGGTGGACCCTCAGCCTGGGAACCAGGCACAGGACCTGAGGTTCCAATGACAAAACAGACTGAGCAGGTCAGGATAGAAAGTGCCCCATGACATCAAATTACGGCCAGTTACTGCCCACTGCATTTCCGATGCCTGTTTCCCTTTTTCCTTCTGAAGTTATGCTCAGAAGGAAGGCTGGAACCTTCTGAAAGGACATGCCATGCTCTCTGCTGTCCAACCCAGCTGGCTGCTGTTAACCTTCAGTTTCCTGCCTGGTCCCCAACTCCCAGACCCTAGGCTCTTTGTCTCCCCCCATTTTCTCTTTTTTCAATTGAGTGATTGCTCCAAAGGACACTAAAACTTTTGAGACTTTGAGTCCCTAAACCTCTATGTGGTACATAAAATTGGACTTCCTAGGCCATTCCTCTAGCTCCTTTTCCTCCACCCTTTCTACTCAAATTTTAAATCAGCTCTCAAACTTTTATAAAGTCCTGCTTTGTTCTCAGATTGCATCTTTTACAAAGACTCAAGTTCCTGTTTAATGAATGTTAATAGTGCTCATTATTTTTTTTAAATGTCAAAGAGCAACGATGTCACTTTGAAGAATCGGTGGCCTGGGCCCACATGGTGGCCTTTTCAATCACCTCATCTGCATGTGAAAGCTGGGCAGTGAAGAAGGGGACTAAAGAAAAATTGAGGACTTTGAACTAAGGTGTTGGCAAAGAATACTGAATAGACCATGGGACTGCCCGGAAAATAAGCAAACTTGTCTTAAAAGAAATACAGGCAGCATGCCCCTTAGAAACAACCGTGGGGAGGCTGCACCTCATATTTGGTATCAGGTGGGACCAGTCTCTGGAGGACACCAACAGTTAAAACAGAGGTAGAGAAAGTGCTCAGCATGGTCTGAAGGCTCTGTCCACATTTTTCTTGAAAACAGTATTGATGAGAACCCCAAATTCTGGGGAGAACTCAGAAAGTTAGTACCCTATGAAATTCTAATGTCTTGATTTCAACAAGAAATCCCAAGACAAACAAAGGAAATTAAACAATGGCACATCCAAATGAACAAGACAAAGGAAGGACCGGTTCGTGGGCACCTGCATAATGAATAGAATGGCAGTATACACAACAATTTGTTGTTGTTAGTGACTGACACTGAGTTGGTTCCAACTATAACAACCTTATCTACGACAGAAAGAAAGAATGCCCAGTCTTGAGCCGTCCTCACAGCTGTGGCTGTCGGAGCCCATTGTTCCAGCCACTGTGCCAATTCATCTCACCGAGGGTCCTCTTTTCACAGACCCTCTGCTCTCCTGATAAAATGCCGCTACTAAGGAACATGTTGGCTACCCTTCTAGAGCAGATGTATTCGTTCTTCTGGAAGTCCATGGCATAGCCAACTTTCTTCGCCATCAACACAATTCAAAGGCATCAAGATTTTCTTGGGCTTCCTTTATTCACTGTCCAGCTTCCATAGGGAAAATACCAAGACTTCAGTCAAGTGCATCTTAGTCCTCAAAGTGGCATCTTTGCTTTTCAGTAATTGAAAAAAGTCTTTTGCAGCATATTTGCCCAATGCAATCTGTCATTTGATTTTTTTACTTCTGCTTTCCTGGGCATTCAGTGTGGATCCAAAGTAAAACTCGAAATCTCTGACCACTTTGATCTTCACTCCACTGATCATAATGTTGCTATGGTCCAGGCTTGTTTTCTTTATACTGAAGTGTAATCCACACTGAACGCTGTAACTCTTCATCCTCATCACTATGTGCTTCACGCTCGTGACATCTGTGCACTACATACAGGTTGTTAGTGACTGTCCCTCCCATCCTCATGCGTGTTCTTTATACAGTCCCACTTCCGGGAAGATTTTGCTCAGCATACGGACTGAACAGTACAGTGAAAGGATGCCACATTCCTTTCCTGGTTTTTAAACCACCCTTGTTCTACTCCAACGACTGATTCTTGGTCTATGTAAAGGTTCTATATGCGCACAATTAAGTGCCCTACAATTCCTAGTCTTCGCAATGTTATCCATAATTTGTTATGATCCACAGTTGGAGCTCCGGTAGCGTAGTGGTTACGAATCGGGCTGTGAGCCGCAAGGTCAGCAGTTCGAAACTACCAGCTGTTCCGCAGGAGAAAGATGAGGCTTTCTGCTCCCGTAAAGATTTACAGCCTCGGAAACCCTGTCCAGGGTCACTGTAAGTCGGAACCAATGCCACAGCACATAACAACAACAACAATGGAGTTCTGGTGTGGCACTGTGGGTTAATGCGTCAGACTGCAAAGCCCTCTTAAACTGCAAGGTCGGTGGTTCATGCTCATCAGCTGCTCCTCGGAAACCCTGTCGAGGGTTGCTAGGAGTCGGCACAGCTAGATGACGGTACAGTCAATAAAACATCTGTGATGATCTCTCTGGGACTCTCTGCTTCCAGCCAAGGTCCAGCAGATGCTAGCAATGATGTCCCTTGTCCCCTGTCCTCTTCTGAATCTGGCTTGAATTTCTGTGAATGTGCTGGGGTACCCATCTTTATATTTTCTTCAGCAAGATTTTATTTACAAGTAATATTATTCGATAATTTCCACATTCTGTTGGTTCACCTTTCTTTGGAATTGGCACAGATATGAATCTCACAATTGGGAGCTACCTTCCAAAATGTGTGGCAGAGTTGGGTGAGCACCTGCAACATTGTACTCATGGCTGGCTGTCAGCTGTCATTCTCTCTATGGCTGGAAACTTGGGTTTTGCCAACGCTTTCAGTACAGACTGAACTTCCTCCTTCAGTACCATGGGGCCTTGGCTACTTTCTGAAATGGCAGAGTGTTGATTAATGTTTTGGGTACAGAGACTTTATGTATTCTTTCCATCTTCTTTTGATGCTTCCTGTATCATTTAATATTTTGTCCATTTATTTCTTCTATATTGTAATTGAATTTCTTTTTTTTTTTTCCTTACTCCAAGTCTTGCATATTTCATTATACTAGGTTACCTTGTCTTCTTGAACCATCCTTTGAAATCCTCTGTTCAGCACTTTAATTTCATTATTTTGTCCATTTGTTTTAGCAATCTATGTTCAAGAGCAGGCTTCAGAGTCTCCGCTAACATCCATTTTGATCTTTCTTTCTTTCCTGTCTTTAAAGACCTTTTTACTTCATGTGTATCGTCTTTGATGTCATCCTACAGTTGGCCTGGTATTCGTTTATCAGTGCTCAATATATCGACTCTATTCTTGAAATCGTCTCTACAGAGAAAACCTTCCCTGGAAGCCAGCACCCTATGTACAAACATCTAGCCTCCTGTGAGAAAATCAACTTCTGTTCCTTAAAATCACCCACATGTGGCGTTTCTGTTACTGCACAACACTAAGAACCGAATGGCCCAGAGCACACCTGGCTCTGGGGTCTTGGCCTTCTGTGCTCACACCCCAGGTGAGTGGGAAAGGAAGGACCCAGGGCAGCTGGCACACAGCCTGGACAGATTAAGGGGACAGAAACAAAGCTCAAGTTCTTGCCAATTTTTAGGCTATGTGATGAGACCAGAATGCACCAAAAGACAGCCCAGGTCAGCCCCACCTGGAAGACAGCCCAGAGGCAAGCCTCACCTGTAGATAGCACGTCCAGCCTCCACCTCCATCCAGTCCAGTGCAAAATCAATCTGCCTCACGAAGGAGGACATGCGCTTCACAACAGTGTGCGCGACTCCCAGGACAACGGTCGGCTGCTTTCGCATGATCCTGCCAGGGCGGCCAGGGAGCGTCATTCTAGGCCAACCCTGCATGCCCCACCCACCACTTCCTCATGTCAAGGGTGCATGCCAGTGGCCTGCATGTCTGGACACTTCTGAGCCCAGGTGCCCCATTCATACAGCAGGTGACATGGAAACTGGACCACAGCACCACACTGTCCGCTACATGTGCCCAGCTGCTGGCCCAGACTCCAGGGTCCCCTCCTCCCTCAGCAGACCGCCTACAAATACTCCCTAGTACAGCTAGGTGCCCCAGCCCCCTGGTTCGCTCATGTGTGCTCCAGAAACATACACACCACATGGAGAGGCCGACACTACAGTGAGGTGAAGGGCAGAGGGCAGGCGGAGGGAGGGGCCGGAGGACTGACTGCGAGCCCACCAATAGGAGCAGAGGGCCCTGGGAAGAAGCATGCCTGAGCCACATGCCACGCCTTCCTAGTGGCACTGTAATGACAAGCCCAGGCTGAGGGCCACGGTGAGATGGGCTTGGACGGAGACTGAGCTAGAGCGGCTCTGAGGCCGGGCTGGGGTCCTGATGACAGGACCTGGAGGCCCCAGGCGATCTGAATGTCAGACACCCCCAGGGAGGAGCCTGGGCTGAGGAGAGGGTATCAGGAGAGGCAGGTCGGGGGATCGAGCACAGGAGCCATGTTGTGATGACTCCCCAGGACTGCGGGGACCTCGGGTCGAGCCAGAGAATAAACCAGGTCCGAGCTTAAGGCCAAAGTCAGGCCACAGCGCCAACTACCTGGTCCACCAAAGCGCCTTGCCGCCCACGCTCACACACACCACCACGTACGTGCTCACACTAACACGCACACATCCTCATATGCACACGACGCATACCACAACAGCATGCAAGCGAACACACATGCTAACACGTGTGTGTAAATGCACACACCCACCATGTGCACCGCTCCCCACCCCCACCCCCGCCTGCATTGCCCTTGGTCTCTGAATGGCGGCGGGGCGCCCGAGGGGCTCACTCGTAGAAATCAGCCTTGGAGATGGAGAGGAAACAGCAGTCCCTGTTGGCTTTGATGGTGAAGATAAGGGGCTCGCCCGTGAGCACGGCCAGCTGGCCCACCATCTCCCCGGGGTGCGTGATGAACAGACACGTGTCCTCCTCACTGTCGATCTTGCGCTGGTACACGTGCAGCAGCCCGGACACCACAAAGAGAATGGTGACGTCCTGAGAAAGCAAGAGAGGCCCGCCTGGCTGTCAGCCTGTCTACGCCTGCGTGGCCCATCCACGTGACCTCCTGGCCGTCAGCCTGTCTGCGCCTGTGCAGTCCATCCGCGTGACCTCCTGGCCGTCAGCCTGTCTACGCCTGCACGGTCCATCCATGTGACCGCCCGGCCATGTGGGCCCTGCGGGACCGTCTGCAGCAGAGCCCAAGCATCACCACGCGGCTCTCGTGCAGCGGTGGTACCATCTCAATCCCTCAGGGAGAGCCTGCTCAGTCCCGCTCCTCCAGTCTCAGGAGTGCCTCCATGGCTCTGGCCAGCAGCACGGACAGGGAGGACCCTCACCCCCAGCTGACCTCTTACTGCCACTCCACATGCCCAGCACACATGCCCACACCACGAGCTCCCCCAGGTCACCTCCTGTGTCCCCTCCTACTGGCAGAACACTGGTCCTCAGCACCCCGGCTATGATCCCCCAAGTGAGCTGAACCCAGGCAGGGTCCATGCATGGGGTTTGCAAGTCCTTGGGGTGGGCCTCAGATCTCCTGCGAACGTGTCACTCGAGGCTCCATCGGAACCACACCTCAGGACTTCAACTCACACCAAAAGGATGCGAGAATGAACCTTTCAAAGGACCCTACGGCAGGACGCCCAGCTGACCTCCCACCCATCCGCCCCCCGCCCATCTGTGACGACGACTCTGGATTACAAGCACGGTGGGGCAGTCTGGGACACCCTGGAGTGTTTTAAGAGCAGCCTCAGGATTACCCAGGAACAACCAGAATTACCCGGGAGCACCCAGAGCAGCCGGAAGGCTGGAAGCTGACTACACTCCCTCCCTGCTCTTTGCCTGCTAGCTCAGTGGAGGTCTAGTTCTACCGCAAAAGGGGACAGTTTAGGGGACAATGTGTATAGTTATGGACGGGCTTAGTAGTCCTGCATGCACCTCCAATCTAGACTCAGAGCATCCCCATGACTCTCACGCCTGCCGGGGCCACTCTGTTCCTGTCTGCTCATCGGCCTCCTCTGGGCACTTTGAGCCCTCAGCTACACAGAGAGGGTGCTCCAGCACGTGAACTCATTGCCCCTCATGTCTTCACGAGGACACACTTTCATTTCTCTCCAGTAGCTTCCCAAAGAGGAATGCTGAGTTGTCTGGTGACATCAAACTTACTTTTTAAGAAAGTAAAACTGTGCTTCCTGCTTCTTTACATTGTTGTCAAGATTGGTTGCTGTATCTCTACGTTATTCTGACCACTCTACAACGGGGGAAATGCTTGGTAATTTTTGAATATTTGAAATATCCACATATTTTTGCCCTTTAAAACCTGGGCTGCCTCCCAAAAATTATGCTGACTGGAAAAAGTCAATTCCACATGAATGATTCCGTTCCTATCACGTTCTTGAAGTGACCACAGCCTAGAGACACTGAACAAACTGGGGGCTGCTGGGGTCAGGAAGGTAAGTAAGTTGTAAACAACCACACGGGGGGGGGGGCTGGGGGTGTCCCAGCTGCTAGACCAGCATAATCCAGGCAGCACCAGCAGATCCCCACTATTTTACCGGAGTCCTGGTTATTGCCTTGAATAAAATGTTCTCAGAATGCTCCCAGGGTTGGAGGGACCAAGGGAGGCAGAGGGAGCCATGCAGTGGACCAGGACGACAGTGTCAAAGGGAGATGGCCAAAGGGGGAGTGGGCCTGGCCCGCCCTCTGCCCTCTGCCTTCTGCCTCTTGAGCACTCACACAACCAGATGCCAGCAGCAGTCTCTTTGGAGAAGCCTTCCAGACTGCATCCAAGCCTCCGGACCCAACTACAGTTAGTTAAAGCACTGAACTGTAAGCCTGCTCTGTGAGTCCCCTGTGGTCACTGAATAACCACGCCAAGCCGAGAGGGAAAGTGCCGTGGGCGGTGGAAGTCTGGGGTCAGAGTTGGTGGGAAGCTTGGTGGTGGAAGGCTGTCTGAGCGCCACCTGGTGGGAACCAGTTCTGGATTTGCATTATCCCCCTGAGGTGAAACAGGTTCTGGCTGATGACCACTGCCCCGCTGCCCTGCCCACTTCCCTCTCTGGTGGAGGGGCCAGCTCAGCAGAGTTGAGGGTGGAGCCAGTGTGACTCTGGGCAGAGAACCTTCTGATTGGAGCAACAGTGACCTTGTGGTCCCAGTAGAAGAGGCTGTGGCCGGCCTTTCGGCCAGCAGAGGGCTCACAGGGTCAGTGAACTTTACTTAAGAACCACACAGTGGTTTTCATCTGTACCCAGCCGCAGACTCACCTGGTCCCCCTGCCTGGACACCACCGTGCCCGCCGGTACGTGGAGAAGCGTTACCCGGCCGTCCAACAGGGAGGGATCCTGAGGAAACAGAAGTATGAGGTCAGTGTCCGGGAGCCGCAGGCAGTGCATGAGGCACCCTGGTGGTGTCCAGACTAACAGACGGAGATGGGGCCTCAAGGCACGTGGGCGTGCCAGAACATCGTCTTCATGAGGAGCCGGAAGCACTAGGCAGAAATGAGCAATGGCAAGTCTCAATGCACAATGCTTAGGAGCCTCTGCCCAAGGAGAAGACAGAGGGACAAGGCCAAGCAAGGCACTCCTGCCCACAAAACACAAGGTCCCCAAGTCCCCAAAGCTGGGCATCGAGGGGTACAGGAGACAGGAAAGCAATACAATGAGAAGGTCCCCACTCACATCCAGCTTCATCAGTGTGAGCAGGTCCTGCTTGGCAGCCCTGAAGATGGCATCTGTCTTCCTGCTGGCCACAGCCTCGTCAGAGGAGCTCGGGGAGTAATGGAAGACTGCCGAAGGGGTCTCGGACACTATCACACTTTTCTTGGAAAATAAAAGACGCGGTGTTGGAAAGCGAGCCCCTGCCAAGAGCTGGACCCCGAAGGAGAGGGCGGTGGGACCCACCTTCACAGCTACATAGCTCTCTGTGTGCTCGTCGGCATGATAGGAGGCCTGGGCTCGATCACAGGCTGCCTGTAGGTCTGAGTGGGGTCCCCCACTTCGACCTAGGAGAGGAGAGGGTACTCAGGTGTCTGGTAGGTCTGAGACACGCAGAGGAAGGTGGGAGCTTTGGAGTCAGCTCCCCAGCCCTGACCCAGGCTCCGAGCTACTGCCTCTTCTGAATGTATTACTCAGACACCCAGTTCCCGGCTGCTCTGTGCAGCACGCGATCTACATCAGGAAGAGCCCCTGAGCATGCAGGTGGGTGTCCGACATGGCACCGAGGGAGATGCCAAGCATAAACTGTTCTCAGCAGGGAGTTCCAGAACAGACTAGACAGTGGGCAGTGGGGCAGCCTCGCTCTGCTGCCAGCTACCTAGTGCATACACCTGTCTGCAAAGGTGTCGCTGACCACTCGTGCGGCTCCATCTGAAACGCCGGGGCTGGCCTGCAGGCACAGAACAGGGTTAGCTCTCGGCCGGGTGGTGGCTCTGTGGCAGATGTCTATGTCCAGCGGCATCAGGGCTGTTATGGATTAAACTGTGTATCCGCCGAAAGTATGCGTCAGTTTAGTTATGTGATACTCCCTGGTGCCCTGCAGTGCTCCCCCCGCCCCCACCCCGTAATCTGATGTCATTATCCTGTGTGCTATAACCCCTCACTTCTACAATGCTCATGAGGCAGAACTAGACGTTAATGAGGACTCCTGGTATGGCGCCGGAGAATAAGCGCCAGACTGCAAACCACAGGGTCAGTGGTTCAAACCCACTAGCTGCTCCTCAAAAACCCTACACAGGGTCACTATGAATCAGAACCTTAACACCAACGGTAATGAGAGAATACAATCTATAGGATTAGGCCGCCTCTTGAGTCAGCCTCTTCTGAGATATTACAGAGATGAAGCGAGCAAGCGCATGAAGAAGGGCTTCAGTACCACGGAGCCGAGCCGAGAATGGAACACGTCCTTTAGACAGGGTCCCTGTGCTGAGAGCGCCTAGACACAGAGGAAGATACATGGAACTCTCCAAGGAACGCTAGACCCACTGATGCTGGGAAGAGATGAGGATCTACCCCCAGAGCCAACAGAGAGAGACAGCCTTCCCCTGGGGCTGGAACCCTGAATTGTGACAAACTAAATCTCTGTTAAAGGCACCAGGCGTATTTCTGCAAGAGCAGCACTAGACACCTAAGAAAAGGGGGCAACTGATTACACACCACACTTCAGTACAATACACCATGAAAACATTCAGACCAGTCAAGTTCACCTCCTAGCAAATCCTACAGGACAGACTAGAGTGTCCAACAGAGATACTGAGATTGTCAGTCTTTACAGGAGCAGACTAGCCCATCTTTCTCCTGTGGGGTGGCTGCTGGGTTTGAACCACCAACCCTGTGATTAGCAGCCCAATGCTTAACCCGCTGTATCACCAGGGCTCCCTAAAGACTCTGCACAGGATGCTTTAAACCAATTTTAAGCAAACAGAAAACCAGTGTCAGACCATCCTCTGGAAATGGGTTGTCTTTGTTATCTTAATGAAACGGGATTCGTTAGGGGTCTGCCTTAAACAAGCAAGCAAAACCAGACTAGATGGGGAGCGATGCCAATGCACATGATCTCCCAGGGATCAAGAAGCAGATGCTGAAGAGAGAGACAAGGCCTGTCCTCCAGAGCTGATGGAGAAACAAAATCTTCCCCTCGAAGCAGTCCTTTGAATTTTCACTTCTGGTCTCCTAAACTGTGAGATGTCCAACCATTTCAAGAGACAACCTAAGATCAAGATTTCAGTTTTTGTTCTTCTGGCAGTCCATGGTACTTTTAATTTCTCCTCCAACACCGTAATTCAAATGCATCAATTCTTCTAGGGTCTACCTTATTCACTGTCCAATGTTCACATGCATATGAGGTTATCGAATATACCATAGCTTGGGTCAGACACACCTTAGTCTTCCAACTGACATCTTTGCTCTTGAACACTTCAAAGATGTCTTGTGCAGCAGATTTGCCCAATGCAGTATGTCATTTGATTTCTTGACTGCTGCTTCGGTGAGTGCTAAGTGTGGACTCAAGCAAAATGAAGTCTTTGACAACTTCATTTTTTTCTCCATTTATCTTGATGTTATTTACGGATCCTGTGGTGAGGATTTGTTTTCTTAGCATTGAGGTGCAATCCATACTGAAGGCTGTGCTCTTGGATCTTCACCAGTAAGTTTTTTGTTTTTTGTGTTTTTTTAATTGTGATTATTATTTAAGAAATTTTATTGCTCAGATTTTTTTCTCCCTGGGTAATGACGGAACTTTGGAAAGTGGCGCTGAGGACAGGGCTAAGGGCACTAGAGTGGAGGGTGGAGAGTGTCCTATTGGTCCACTGTCTTGTGTGGAGGCATGGCAGGGGCAGATTGTAGGGCTTTCTAGGTACCCAGACAGGAACCTCTACGGCAAGGTTCATGGATCAGAGCAGAACAGATGAGGTCAGTCTGCCTTCAGTTCAGAAGCTCAACATGGTCAGGCCCACAGTGATGGCATAGATGTGATGCAAATGGTGCAGAAATCCTAAAGCACGAAGAAGAGGGCCTAGGCTGGGGCGAAAGAGCCCGCAGGGAAGTCAGCATCCGCAGGAGGGAGGTCCAGCATCTTTGTAGGCACCCTAACAACAGCTAGAAAAGATGTGCAGACAGCTGACGGCCATGCTCACGTCACAGAGCACACTCCTGGTCCTTCCTTATGCAGCACGCAGAGACAGTACAAGGCCCTAGACACAGAGCACAACCGCACCCATCCAAGGCCCTGCCAGGTAATTGCGCATGTTTCTCTGCCCAAGGCTAGCCCAGCATTAAGCGTTTTAAGTCCTCCTTCCTTTCAGCAAGCAAGGTTGTATCATCTGCATATTACTAGCTGTTAATGAGTCTTCTTCCAATCATGATGCCATGTTCTGCTTCACATAATCTAGCTTCTCAGTGGATTTGCTCAGCATACAGACTGAATAAGTATGGTGAAAGACTACAACCCTGGTGCACACCTTGCCTGATTTTAAACCATTCTGTGTTCCCTTGTTCTGTTTGAACAACTGCCTCTTGGTGTATGTTCAGGTCTTCATAAGCACAGTTATCTGTTCCAGAATATTCACTCTGCACAATGTTATCCATAGCTTGGCCTTTGCATAATCAATAAAGCACAAGTAAACAACATCTTCCTGATATTCTCTTTCAGCTGAGCTCCGTCTGACGTCAGCACTATCCCTCCTTCCGTATCTTCTTCTGAATCCAGCTTGAATCTCTGGCAGCTCCTGTGATTGTACTATTGCAGCCATTTTTAAATTATCTTTAGCAAAATTTTACTTGCATGTGATATCAATGATACTGTACAATGATTTCCACATTACATTGGACCACCTCTGTTTCGAAAACGAACAATTATGAATCTCTTCCAGTCAAGTTAGCCAGGTTTTCCAGATTTCTTGGCACAGATGAGTGAGTGCTTCAGTTTATTCAAGGATTTATTGAATGAAAGATTTCAATTTGCACTCCATCAATTTCCAGAGCCCTGTTCTTTGCCAATGCCTTTAGTATCACTGACTCTTGATTCTCGGCTACCTCGTGAAATGACTGCTTTTAGAATAATGACCTTGTGTATTCCTTTCTTTTGATGTTTTCTGTGTTATTCAGTACTTTGCCCATAGAATCCTTCAATATTGCAAGTTGAGGCTTGAATTTTTTCTTCACTTCTTTCAGCTTGAGGAATGCTGAGTGTATTCTTCCTTTTGGGATTTCGAACTCCTAGTGTTTGAACATTTCATTGTAATAGTTGATTTGTCTTCTTGACCTGCCCTTTGAAATTTTCTGTTCAGCTCTCTTACCTCACCATCAAATCTGTTCTTCAGATGATCTCTAAAGTCAGGTGGGATATGTTCAAGGTCATACTTTGGCTCTCATGGACTTATTTTAATTTTCGTCAGCTTCAGCCTGAACTTGCATTTGAGCAGTTTATGGTCTGTCCCATGCCTTGTTTTGGCTGATGACCAGGAGCTTTTCCACCACGTCCTTCCACAGATATTGCCATTTTGATTTCTGTGTATCCCATTTTATGTTGTTTAAAACAGGTCTTTGCAGTGAAGAATTCACCAATCTTGTAAAATTCTATTGTTTGCTCTCCTGCATCATTTCTATCATCAAGGCCATATTTTGCAACTATTGATCCTTCCTCTTTGTTTTCAACCTTTGCATTCCAATCACCAATAATTTCCAATAAATCTTGATTGCATGTTTGGTCAATTTCAGACTAAAGAAGTTGGTAGAATTCTCCAATTTCATCATCACTGGTTTTAGGAGTTGGTATATAAATTTAAATAATAGTGGTATTAATGGACCTTCCTTGTAGGCATGTGGATATTATCCTATCGCAGACAGCATTATATTTCAACATAAATATTGAAATATTGTTTTAGATGATGAATGTGGCTCCATTCCTCTTCAATTTGTCATTCCCATCACAGGCACACCATGTGACTGTCAGATTCAAAATGGACAATCCCAGTCCATTTCAGCTCACCAATGTCTAGGATATTGATCATTATGTGTTCCATTTCATTTGTGACAACTTCCAATTTTCCTACATTCATACTTCGCACATTCCATGTTGTGATTATTAACAGACATATGCAGCTGTTGCTCCTCATTGTGACTTGTGCCCCATCAGCAAATGAAGGTCCCGAGGGCTTTACTCCATTCGTGACATCACGGTCAACTCTACTTTGAGGAGGCAGCTCTTCCCCAGTGGCATTTTGAGTGCCTTCTAACCTGAGGGGCTCATCTTCCGACACTATATCTGACTACACTGTGGTGCTCTTCATCATGTTTCAGTATTCAATATTCTGGGGCTGACAATGTCCCACTGCTAGTCATGAGGCTTTCAGTAACTAAACACTCAGAAGTGGTCCGTCTCTCCTTCTTAGTCGGTCTTCATCTGGAAGATCAGCTGAAATCTGTCCACCATCGGTGACTCCCTGGTATTTAAAGTACCCACTGCATGCCACACATGTACAACATGCTGACAGACGAGATGGCTTCAGCATTTAGACAATAATAAACATTTTGTCTGCATGGAGATATTGTATAGTCAAGATGTTGTCATTACTGTTAATTAGATCAGTTACCTTAAAATTCTTATTACATGGGGATTGTCAGGATTTTCAGTCATATACCGTTCAAACATCTTTCATTTAAGAAAGCTCACTCAACATGTTTTTGTTAAGTACAGCAGGCTGACTGGGTAACCATGGAGAAAAAGTGCATCTGGTCCTGTCCATACATCGTAAAAACACCACATCAAGGTGCACAGACAGCCAGAGGGTGGGAAGACAGACAGACACAGGGGTGGGAAGACAGACAGACACGGGGGTGGGAAGACAGACAGACACGGGGGTGGGAAGTACAGACAGACATGGGTACAGGAAGACAGATAGACATGGGTACAGGAAGACAGACAGACACTGGTACAGACACTGGGGTGGGAAGACAGACAGACACGGGTACAGGAAGACAGACAGACACGGGTACGGGAAGACAGACAGACACGGGTACAGGAAGACAGACAGACACGGGGGCAAGAAGACAGACAGACATGGGGGCGGGAAGACAGACAGACATGGGGGTGGGAAGACAGACAGACACGGGTACGGGAAGACAGATAGACACAGGGGCAGGAAGTACTCGAGGCCTGTGTGTCCTGTTGTAGCCACCACTTGTATGGCTGGGGTGACAAGGAGCAGACTCTTCCCTTAATTGTAATTAAGCCATCAGTGTAAGTAGGCAGAGGTGGTTGGTGGTCCCCATATTGAACAAGGTGGTTTAGAGCAGGCACATATCTGTGTGAGCAGGAAACAACGTCCTATATCACCTCAAGTAAGAAAAGTGGGCCCTTGTATCTCACACATATAAGAGGGAAGGGCAGATGAGTTACTGCGGAAGGGGAAACTGAGGAGCTCAAAGGAAGACTTAAGACCTGGGAGTAAGGCCCCAAATATCAATCTTAAGGGACCATCAATTAGAGCTGAATCCTGGAAGCAGAAACTATTCTTGACAAAAACTGGCATCCTAGCTCTGTCCAGAGTAAGAGAAAAACAGGCAAAGGCCAGGAAGATGCAGTTCTTTCAGGCAGAGGCCAGTGACCTCAGAAAGACAAGAACAAGAGCCTTCTACAGGACAGAGCAGCCAGGGGACAGCGGTCCCATAAAGGAGGCAGAGTTCTGAGAGATGGAACCCAGGTCCTGGCTGGTGTAGCGGTGCACTAGTGGCCTGGCCCAGGAGGTGGGGACAGAGAGGAGGGGGCTCGCTGTAGCACCAGCGCTGGGGTTCTGGGCAGTGGGGGGGGCGGGGGGATTCAGGAGCAAGGATATCGCAGAGGATCCAGACCCACATGGAGGCCCAGCTCTCCGGCCTTGAATTCCTGTCCATCTACAAAACGCACAGCCCCAGGATGGCTTCCATGGGCTGCCGAGTGAGTCCAGAGGTCCTAGACAGACCACAGGAGGCGGGGCTGTACCTGCTGGGGCCACAGGGGCCTTCTGGAGCTTGTCCTGAGCTGAGACCTCGAGCTCTTCAGAGGCCGAAGGCAGCGGGACAGACAGGCTCCTCCTAAGCAGGCCAGATCCCACCGCACGGACACTCCCTCCATCTGTGGGAGGACCCCAGGGTGAGTGGGGCAGTCCCAGCATGGCGGCGCAGTTCTGGGGATATGGAGAGTGGCCCCTCCCCATATCCCCAATGCCAGGCCCATGACATCCAATCCCCAATGCAAGGCCCATGACATCCACCAGCACTGCTGTCCACCTGCCAGCAGAGGCAATCCCACCCATCACGTGGCCCTGCCCAGCAGTGGCCCCGCCCACTCTGGGTCCACCTTGCGGATGCCAGCCTTACAACATGCTAGAGTTCCGTCTCCCTTCCTCAGAGCTGAGCCCCGCTCCAACCAAGGTTTGGCTGCGGTGAAATGGACCTTCAAGAAGGCCCTGGCCCTTTCCACACCTTGAGGACAGACACTGTCTCCCACGGAGCAGGTCCTGTCCAGCTCACCCTGGGTCCTGACCCACTCATCTGCAGGAGGTGCGCCCCTGCATGCCTCACATTCCGGGAGTTCCGAGAGCGAGTTCCAGGACACAGCCTCACGTCAGGACTGGACCCAGGCCGCCTCCTTCATCTCGCTCAGCCTTGGGTCCCTACCACTCAGGGCCCGCGGGGGCAGAGGTCACTGACCACGAGCACATACCTGGGTTGAAGGCTTCTCGAGGAGGCTTCTCGGGCTGCTCGTCTGGGCTTCCGGACACCTGCCGCTTGGCCACACTGGCCACAGACACGAGGGGAATGGCCTGGCTCTCCTGGGAGGTGAGAGGAGGGTCAGCAGGCCCTGGCTTAAGGCCCAGGGAAGCCCTTACAGGAGCTGGACGAAACACTGTCCATGGGGGGGCCACAGCCACTGAGGGAACCCTTGCAGACACTGTTCATGGGGGGGCCACAGCCACAGAGGGAACCCCTGCAGACACTGTCCATGGGGGGCCACAGCCACTGAGGGAGCCTGAAGACACGGCTCCTAGAGGCTGCCCTTTATCCATCTCACAGTGGCTCTGCTGGCAGGACCGGAGGCTGACTAAAGGACAGGATAGTGTCTGGGAGAGGTGGCTCGGACCCCTGCCCAAGTGGACCACAGCACCACGCACAGTTGGAAAGGTTGGTGCCAGCTCACGGGACGTTGGCACCAGATGCCTGGAAGAGGGCAGGAGAAGCCATCTGGATGTGGGACAGGGACGGGGTGGGCTGTCCAGTGGGACAGGTGGCCACTGGAGGGATGAACTGTCGCATCTGAGCATGCGTTTCGCCTTCCCCAAAACTTCGCTGTGGGAGGAGTCAGTGCCTGGCACCTGGGCCCAGGGATGGCCCGGTTGGGAGGGCCAGAAGCACTTACGGGGTTGAAGAGCTCTGTGGTCAGGCCCAGATAGTTGTGTAGGGCCATGAAGGTTACTCGCTGCAGCCGCACCATGATGATCTGCAAGAGGCGGACAGGGTCACGCGGCCAGCCAGCTCCAAACTCAGACCCAGTGTGCCCCTCAGTGTAGGCTGCAGAGACTTCACCCACCCAATGGCCCCCGCCTCCCCATGGCTGATGGGCTCTAGCTTGGGGCACACTCAGCACATCAGGCAAGTGCTCCATGATTGTAAAGCCACACAAATGAAAACCTTCATGAAAAATACTCCCTTCTTTGGGGGAATGGAGCTCTGGACAATGCTTAGAGGTTAGGAACGTGAATTCTTACTGAAAATTGTAGTTAGAGGTGAAAAGAGCCTCACTCTTCCGGTCGCCTCCCCCCCCCCCCCCAAGAGGCTGGTTCCAGCTCAGCAGCCCACCAGTGGAGGTGACATTCGAATGGCATAAAGCCCGAGACCACCCAGAAGTCAGTGAAGATGAGCAGGAGCGCCTACCTGTACCACCCGCACAAGGGTCTCGGGGTACTTCTCAAACACGCCCTGTAGAGCCTCAGCCGGCAGTCGGAGGATGGTGGAGGGGGCAGCTGCCCGGGCTGAGACTGTCTTATATGGGGCGGGATGGCCCTGTGGTAAGAGTCTCGTTAAGTCACCCCCGCACCCTCCCATGCCCTCTCTCTGCTGCCTGGAGATACTACCCTTCCCGTTGTTCTAAATGGTGCCCCAGCCCCGCACCTGGCTCCAAAACACAAGGACCCCACGCCCAAGTGACCGCAGGTGGGCAGAACCAGGAGGAATGCAGGGGAGCAAAGGGGACCGGCTGCCATGCCCCACCAGACCCCCAGGGGCAGTGCCCCAAGCGCTCAGAGATCTGCTGTCCCCATCTCTTAGGAACTAACTGGTGCCAAAAAAAAAAAAAAAAAGGTTTTTACAGTGAAGTATCCCTTCAACAGAGTCCTGGGGTGGCACTGTAAGTTAATACACCAGACTGCAAAGCCATTCGAACGGCAAGGTCGGCAGTTCAAACTTACGAAGGGTCGGAACTGAGTCGAGGGCACCTCATAACAACAACAATCCTTTCAATAATGAGCACGAAGTATCGACTACGGTCTTCTGTCTATTTTTACTGAGTTGTTGGTTTTACGAGTACTACTGAGTTTTGAGAGTTCTTCTTCATGCACTCCGGTTCCAGTCCTTTGTCAGACACCTGCTGGGTAAATATCCCACAAGGTCTATGACTTAACTATTCATCCTCTTAAAATGTCTTTGCAGATAATTTTTTAACTTAGGATGTGTTCAAATTATCCTTTTTTTTTTTTTTTTTTCATTTACCGCGGCTTTAAGGCCACCATTCACCTGTTTGTTTTACTGTGGTGGCTAGTGTGTTGCTATGAATCTGGAAGCTATGCCTTCCACCGATGATGGGCAGGTTTCAGCTGATCTTCCAGACTAAGACAGACTAGAAAGGAGAAGCAGGCTACTTCTGAATGTTTAGCCAATCAAAACCTTACGAGTAACCATCAAGGGAGAAGAGCACAAGCGGAATATGGGACCCTATCCAGAGAAGCAGCGACACCAGAGATGGAGGCAGAGATGGGGATATGGAGAGAGGGAGCAGCTGAGGACTCTAGACTCGTGGAAAGAGAAAGGCGGTGTGCTGGGCGCCGGAGGCCGGCTTGCAAAGTGTGCCCTTTGGTTGTTTAAATGATTATACATTCCTGAGTGTTTTTATGTACAGCAAAACACCAAAAAACAAAGGGAATAGAAGCAAATACTGCTGAACGATGATGCATGGAGGGATTGTAATCATTGCAATGAAACGATGAGTGTGAAAAACAATGTTCTCTCATGTCAACTATCACTCAATTCACAATAAAACTTTAAAAAAAACAAAACCCTTATGAGTAGCAGCAGACCACTGTCAGCAGCAGAATATTGACTATAGAAACATGATGAAGAGCACCAGAGTACCATCAGCTATAGGGCTCTACAGGAAGGTATTCAAAATAGGACCGGGGAAGAGCTGCCTCCTCAAAGTGGAGTAGATGAGAATGAAGTAAAGCTTTCGGGACCTTCATCTGCTGATGGGGCACATTACAAAATGAGAAGAGACCGCTGCGAACATCCATTAACAATCAGAACATGGAATGTATAAAGCATGAACCAAGGATAATTGGAAGTTGTCAAAAATGAACTGGAATGCATAAAGATCAATATCCTAGGCATTAGTGAGCTGGAAGGGACTGGGATTGGCCATTGTGCATCAAACAACACATGGTGTACTATGCTGTAAATGACAAATTGAAGAAGAATGGAGTCATATTCATCATAAAAATAATAATATTTCAATATCGATGTTGAAATTCAATGCTGCCTGTGATAGACTATTACCCATACACCTACAAGGAAGACCAGTTAATACCACTATTATTTAAACTTATATACCAACTCTTAAAGCCAGTGATGATGAAATTGAAGAATTCTGCCAACTTTTTCAGTCTGAAATTGATCAACTATGCAATCAAGATTGTATTGATAATTATTTGAAAATTGGAATGCAAATATTGGAAATAGGAAGGATCAGTAGTTGGAAAATATGATCTTAGTAATGGAAATGATGCTGGAGATCAAATGATAGAATTTTACAAGACCAATGACTTACTTATTGCAAATACCTTTTTTAGACAATTATACACATGGACCTCACCAGATGGGCTACAAAGACATCAAACTGTGTTCCACCTGTGGAATGATATAGTGGAAAAACTCCAGGTCACAGCCAAAAGAAGGCAAGGGGCGGACTGAGGAACAGACCATCAATTGCTTACATGCAAGTTCAGGCTGAAGTTGAAGAAAATTAAAACAAGTCCACAAGAGCCAAAATATGACCTTGAAATATCCCACCTGAATTTAGAGGTCGTCTCAAGAACAGATTTGATGTAGTAAACACTAATGACCAAAGACCAGAAAAGTTGTGGGATGACATACAGGAAGAGAGCAAAAAAAAGAAGACAAGAAAGAAGGAAAAGAACAAATTGGGTGTCAGAAGAGTCTCTGAAAGTTGCTCTCCAGTGTAGAGATGCTAAAGCAAAAGGGAAAAATAAGGAAGTAAAAGAGCTGAACAGAAAAACTTAAAAGGCAGCTCAAGAAGACAAAGTCAAGTATTATAATGAAATGTGCAAAAACCGAGAATTAGAAAACCAAAAGGGAAGAACATGCTCAGCATTTCTCAAGCTGAAAGAACTGAAGGTAAAATTCAGGCCTCAACTTGCCATACTAAAGGATTCTATGGGCGAAATATTGAATGATACAGAAAGCATCAAAAGAAGACGGGAGAAATATTCAGTCACTGGACCAAAGAGAAATGGAAATGCTCAACCATTTCAAGAGCTAACATATGACCAAGAGCCAATAGTACTGAGGGAAGAAACCCAAAGTGCACAGAAGGCATTAGCAAAGAACCAGACTCAGGGAATTCATGAACTACAAACTGAAATCTTCCAATAAGCTTATGCAGCACTGGGGACACACACATCGATGCCAAGAAATCGCAAGACAGCTACCTGGCCAACTGATTGGAAGAGACCCATTCCAATGAGCGGTGACCCAACGGAATGCAGAAATTATCTTTGTTGTTAAGTGACATTGAGTCCGTTCCAGCTCAGCTGTGTAGGGTTTCCCAGGAGCGGCTCACAGGCTTGAGTCATGGACCTTGTGATTGGCAGTCTAGTGCTTATCATATGGAGCCACAGCACTCCTGGAAATCATCTTACAATTAACATAAAATGCAATTCAAATTTTGATAAACAGAATTTAAAAACGGCTGCAACATTGACAGGGAACTACCAGAGGCTCCAGCCCGATTTAGACAAGGATGTGGAACAAGAGATAGCATTGCTGACATCAGATGGCTCTTGGTTGAAAGCAGAGAATATCAGAAAGATGTTTACCTGTGCTTTATTGATCATGAAAGGTTTTTGACTGTGTGGATCATCAATAGTAATGGACAAAATTATAAAGAATGAGTATTCCAGAACACCTAACTGTGCTCATGAGGAACTTGTACATAGACCAAGAGACAGTCACTCAAACAAAACAAGGGGACACTGAAAAGTTAAAAATTAGCTAAATTGTGCACCAGGGTTGTATCCTTTCACCATACTCCTTCAATCTGGATGCTGAGCAAAGAATCCAAGAAACTGGATTCTATGAAAAAGCAGGTAGCATGAGGCTTGGAAGAAGACTCATTAACAACCTGCAATATGCAGATGATACAACCTCGCCTGCTGAAAGAGATGAGGGCTTAAAACACTTACTGATGAAGATCAAAGACCACAGGCTTCAGTATGGATTGCACCTCAATATAAAGAAAACAAAAATTCTCACCATTGGACCAATAAATCACACCATGATAAATGGAGAAAAGACTGAAGTTGTCCAAGACTTCATTTTACTTGGATCCACAATCAGCACTCATGGAAGCAGCAGTAAAGAACTCAAATGACCTAAGGCATTCGGCAAATCTGCACAAGACCTCTTTAAAGGGTTCTAGAGCAAAGATGTAATTTGAGGATTAAGGTGCTCTTGATCCAAGCCTTAGGATTTTCAATAACCTTATATGCATGTGAAGGTTGGAAAACGAGTAAGGAAGTCTGTAGAAGAATAGATTCCTTTAAATTATGGTGCTGGAGAATATTAAAAGAACTATGGACTGCCAGAAGAACAAATAAATGTCTTGGGAAAGGTGCAGCTAGAATGCTGCTTAGAGGCCAGGAGAGCGAGACTATATCTGTCAGGAACAAGGCATCGTGCTTGGTAAAGTGGAGGCTCAGAGGAAGACGCCCAGCAGGGTGGATTGGCACAGTGGCAGCAGCAATGGACTCCACCATGACTGTAAGGTTGGCACAGGACTGGGTAATGTTTTGTTCCGTTGTACATGAGGTGGCTATTAGTCAGAACCAACTCAATGGCACCTACAAGAAGCTTTTATGGCGTCCTTGCGGGACTGGGGCTGCGACTCAAATCCACCAGCCGCTCCTTGGTAGGCTGTCCCGTGAAGACTGTCTTAAGACCCCTGTGCACGGAATCAACTTGATACCCATGTCTGGTTTGGGTTTATCATGATTCTGGAATCAAAAGCTTTCCTCACCGACAGTCACTCTTCACAGTGTCACCTTCTTCCCTTTGGAGCCAAGGTGTGAGGTGCATGTGAGCTGACATTCACTCATTGGCCCAGCACCGTTTGCTGAAAAGATGAACCTTTCCCTGGTCAGTTGCACCTCTGTCAGACACCGGCTGACTCTGTGGGAGTCTACACTGGGCTGCCTGGCCTGCTTCACTGCCCACCAGTGTGTGTGCCGGGACATTCCAATACCTCATGGTCTCGGTTCCGGCTCAGCAGTCAGTCCTGAAATCAGACAGTGTGAGTCACTCCCTCTTAGCTGTTCTGGTCTCTTTTGCTTACACAGATAGAGTCTGTGTAATTTCATAAGCAGCGTTTGCATCTCTAGGGAAAAGGTCTGACAGGATTTTTACTGCAATTTTGTTAAATAATTTGGGGAGAACTGCCATCTTAACAGTATTGTATCTTCCAATCCAAAAATAAAGTCTCTCATTTAGGTCTTCGTCAATTTCTGTCATCAGTATAGTTTTCAGACAGAGATCCTGCCCACATTTGATTAGGTTATTTCATGTTTGGGGAGGGCTGATATAAACCCTGTTTTAAGTTTTCATTTCCAGCTCTTCAGTGCTACTCTCTGTGAACGCAACTGTCTTTGCGTGTTGACCTAGTGCCCTTGTTAAATGACTCCTAAGTGCCGGCAGCTTTCAGGACCCTCTCTGATTTTCTCCGCAATCACGAGGACAGACACAGGCTGGTTTTCCTTTTTAGTCGGTGTGATTTCTGTTTCTTCTTTTCCCGATTGTCCTGGCAAGGCCCCTAGTGTGATGCTGACCTGGAATGATGAAAATCCATATCCAGCCTGGTTCACAGTCTTCAAGGGGATGCAGTCAGTCTTCTTTCATTAAGCATAGTACCTTTAAGTTTTTAATTATGAATAAAGGTTTTCATAACATGATTACTAAGTAAGTCCTCTCTTTTCCTAGTTTGCTGTGTTTGTTGGTTTTAATCATGGATAGTGAGTTTTTTCACATGATTTTCTGCATCTACTGATCATATTATTTTTCTTCTTTAGTGAATCACAAGGACTGATTTCCTAATGTTGGGCCAACCTTGCACCCCAGGAACAAACCCACTTGATCAAGATTTTTTTGTGTATCCCTAAATTTACATTTCTAATCTTTTGTTGAGGATCTTTGCAGCTCTACTCATGAGATATTATTGGTCTGGAGTTTTCTTTCTGTGTAATATCTTTGTTTTCTATTAAAGTAATGTTGCCCTGAAAACTGAGTTGGGCTAACAGGAGAACTGATGTGAAGTGTAACCAGAAACTGTACCTTCTGCAAAAGTGCTCTGTAAACTTAAAACTGTTCTAAAAAATAAACTCTACTGTACAAAAAGTAAGTAAATTTAAAATTTTTTAATTGGAAAGTATTTCTTCCTCTTCAGTTTTCTAGAAGTCTGTGTAAAAAGGCATCATTTATTCTCTAAAAGTTGGAGGGAATTCCCCAGTGAAGCCATTTAGACACAGTTTTCCTTACAGAAGAGATTTGGGGCCCAGTTTGATTCACTTCATGGATAGAGAGCTATTCAGATAACTTACTTCTTGAGTGAGCTTTGGTCATTGATTTGTGTCTTGCAAGGAATTTGATCATTTCCTCAAAATTATTTATTTTGGAACTTAAAGTAGTTTATGCTATTCCCCGGCTAGGGTTTTTATGTCTATAGGGTCTACAAAAACGCTCCTTCTTTCATTCTATTGATGTTGGCAGTCTGGGTCTTCTCTCTCTTTTCCCCACTGCTCTGTCTAGAGAGTTTTCCCTTTTTTTAGATGGTTTAACTTATTTTCCCTATTGTTTTTCAGTTTCATTGACTTCTGCTTTTTATTACTTTTTCTTTTTCACTTGGTTTGGATTTAATTTGCTCTTACTTTCCTAGCTTCTTAAAACAGAATTTTAAAGATTATATAGGACAACCATGGTCTCATCTAACCGGAAACTAGAAGAACTAGATGGTGCCCAGCTCCTGCCAACCATTCTAATCGGGGCACAACAGGTGGACCCCGATAGCATGGGAGAAAAATGTGAGCCACAACTTCAAATTCCTAAAAAGAGAGAAAAAGGAAACATACAAACAGAACTCTTGAGACTGAAGGACTCCCTGAAACAACTGCCCCAAGAGAGTGTTCAAACCTTGGACCAAAACTAATCCCTGAAGTCCACTTGTAGCTACATAACAAATTGACTAAAAAATTAATAAATACCACTCATAAATACTGTGCTTCTTGTTAAAAATCACCTATATAAGACCAAACTGTCAACAATGGCTTTAAAACAAAGATGTCAACTTAAGGGGAGAGAAACTAGGTTAACAGGAATGGAGCAGCCTGAATGGAAATCATGAGAATGTTCCTCAATGTCACTGAACATCCTTCCTGGGGAAACGGTTGGATGGGAACCAAACCTGCTGTGTACTCCTTCCCAGAAAATACAATGGAATATTATTATTTTTTTAAATAGATGTTTAGATCATTAATTTGAGGCCTCTTTTTCTTTTTTAATAAAAGCATTTTAGGCTCGTGTAAAATAAAGATAATTTTAGATTTCTAAGGTTTTAACCAATGTATTCCTTTTGTATCTATTCTCAGGAAGCCAGTGGAGGATTTACTCTCCCCAAACACAAAGGAGTCCAGAAAGAGGTAAAGAGCCACCTAGGATGGGAAGGGATAGCAGGCAGTTCTGGGAGGACAGGCTGGGGTGAGAGGAAGGCGGGATCTGAGAGATTTCTCCAAGAAAAGAACAACCATGTTGCACCTCATGAGGCCACTGAAAATTCTGGGGAAACAAAGAATAGACAAGGCAAGGAAATTCTAATCCATGGGCCAACTTAGTCGGAGTGTCACACCGAGTGACAGCGCCCCCCACTGGGCTCTGGTGGGCGTGGGGACTGCGCCATCTCAGCCCCTGCCCTTGTTTTCCACAGCAGGACTCTCAGCACAGGGTCTCCAGAACTGAAGCCAGAAATAGCAATGGACCTGGGCTGCTCACGGTGGACAGGGAGGACAGCAAGAGGCGCTGGCTTTTTCCATAATATTACATTGTAGAAATAGCAATGGACCTGGGCTGCTCACGGTGGACAGGGAGGACAGCAAGAGGCGCTGGCTTTTTCCATAATATTACATTGTAGAAAGGACAACACAAATGTTTAGTGAGGCAAAAGTGATGTCACTCAAGAGGATGAATGAGGCACGTGTCAGAGGCGTTTCATGGCACTCAGAGGAAGCAGCTCCTACTGGCCACAGCACAGGCCCTCAGCCCCGCACAGGGCAGCGCATAGCTGCCAGGAGGGGCCCCAGGGCTGACCTCTGCACCTGGGTGCCTTCTGAGTCTCATACTAGGTGCAGGTAGTTGTTGTTGTTGTTGTTATGTGCCATGAAGTTGGTTCCGACCCATAGCGACCCTGTACAGGGTTTCCAAGGCTGTAAATCTTTATGGGAGCAGAAAGCCTCATCTTTCTCCTGCGGAGTGGCTGGTAGTTTTGAACTGCTGACCTTAAGGTTCGCAGCCCGATTCGTAACCACTATGTTACCCGAGCTCCTTATAGCGACCATTGTTGTATAGCGACCATTGTTGTTGTTAAGTGCAGTTGAGTCAGTTCCGATTCATAGTGACCCTGCACAGGGTTTCCGAAGCTGTAAATCTTTACGGAAGCAGAAAGCCTCATCTTTCTCCTGCGGAGCGGCTGGTGGTTTTGAACCACCAACCCTGAGGTTCACAGCCCGATTCGTAACCACTACGCTACCAGGTGCAGGTAGTAGTTAGTTCAAAACTCAGCATCTAAAAGGCTGTTAACACAAGCCACCCTATGTCCGCCCCCTTAGCTTCTGCTGCCGGAACAGGGGCCCACCCACCAAGACCAACCTGATCATGGCACTGAAAGGGCCCACCACACAGGCCAGCCAGGGTCACAGTACCTGGGGGGCCAGAGGACTAGGTGGTACTCACAGTAATGATGTCCAGGATGCTGAGGAGGCTGTGGACGCTGTCTCCTGCCAGGACCTCCTTGACCACCACCTCAGTGCCATCCTATGCATGGGGAACAGAAGGGGCCATCTATCCATCTGCCCTGTGAGCTGTCTGTCCATTAGCCCAAGGTCAGCCAAGGCTTGGCCTAGTGCCCTAGGAAGTAGGGCTTCCCCACTGAAAGATAGCCACCTCCAGCCTAGAGTTGCTCTCACCAAGCAGGAGCAGGAGGTATCTCGCCAGACTCCCTGAGAATCTGAGGTTAGGAAAATGGGGTCAATAGCAGGTGTGAAAAGATCCAACCACCCAGGATCATCACCTCTACCCACAACCTGGCCTTGTGTCAGATGAATGTAGGTGACACTGAAAATACCCAGTTGGTTTCACCACATCAATTATCAATACAAAGGGAAGTCCAGAAGTTCATGGGAAAATTCCATCTTGTCATCTCGTTTCGTGTAAGTGAGAGCATTTATACAATCTTCAGTGAGACAAGAAGAGAACAAAGACTGGGGAATACATAGAGAACCCACACCTCAGCTTGAGCCAGGGAAGCTCTTTTTGAATGTGCTCAAGTTTGGCACCAGCTGTCCCACATGGACGTCTGCCGTCTATCCCAAGGCCCTGAGAGGTAACTTCAATGTTTCTGGACGGACCGGGTTTCAGGCCTACCAGTGAGGAAACAGCCCTTCAGTATTCTCTGCCCGGATTCTGCATTCTAGATGGGTCACTTGTTCACTCATCAACCGAGTCCAGTCTCAAACTGAGCCACATATGTGAGACTCAAAGTCCATCTAGAAACACACCCTGGGCTTAGGGACCCTACGACATCCTGCCAGGGAGAGGGTGGGGCACGTGGGAGCCAACACTACCACTGAGCTAATCCCCCACCCCCAGTGATGCCATCGCACAGAGCAGAATTGCTCCTTAGGGTTTCTAATACTAGAAATCTCTTTTTTTTTCATTTTTTGACAAGTGTAATTATTGCACAAATTTCCCCTAGAACTGGGAGGCTATTATAGTACAAGTATATATTTGAGAAATGTATACAGAACAAAGAAAAAGTATGTACATTTTATAGATCCCACCATTTAATAACTTAAAGACCAATACTATAAATCTTTACGGGAGCAAACAGCCTCAGCTTTCTCCCATGGCTGGGCTGGTGGGTGTGAACCACCAACCTTGTGAGTAACAATTCACTTTAGATGCTTAACCCACTTTACTACCAAGGCTCCTTAGAAAAAGCCCCGAACTCAAGAGAATTCACTTTACACAAGTGACAGATGACAGGCAGTCCCTCTGAGAAGCAACATATCCAAGAAGGCTCATGGACCCGGTCCCCATGTAGCAGCCATGGTTCAGATGGATAACAGAAGCATGAAGTGAGCAACCCGCTTTCTGATGAGTTGGAACCTTAGTGTTCTCTTAGAGTTAAAATGATCTGTAAGCCAGAACCTGAAAGCAGGGTGTAAGTGATTACAGCAGACCACAAGGAAGTTACACAGGCCACCTAACAACACTGAAGATGTATCTGGTAAAAACACAAAACTAAAGCCACGTGGTATCCACCGAACCGAGCTACATACACGAGAGGCGGGGTTGTGCCTGGGAGCAACAGGCAATGTGCAAAGCTGAAAGCAGGTTAGAAAGTCCCCACGAGGAGGTGGGGCTGCTGGCATCTCACCGTGTCTTGGACGCAGACCTCAAGCCGCCCGTCCTGCACCACATACACGCTGTTGTCCGGCTCCCCCGGCCGGAACATGTGCTCCCCCTCCTGCAGCTGCATGAACACCATGTGCTTGCAGAGTTCCAGAAACAGCGGCTTCTCAAAGTGGCCCAGGACCCTGCAAGGGGTGAGGGCAGTGGAGCACCTCCCACAGCCGCCCAGGCCAAGGAGAGGCCAAGGCGAGGCCAAGGCGAGGCCAAGGCGAGGCCGTGGAGTGCCCCTTACCGAACATTCTTCAGCATGTACAAGACCTCGGAAGGCAGGTGGGAGCTCTTCACGTCGAACTCGGTGAGATCTGCCTCCAACAGGGAGGGCGGGGGCTCCTTGGGCTGCAGAGTGGGGTACTCCTTCTTGAAACGCAGGATCCTTCAAAACAGAAAGGTCCCAAAGTTGGGAGCCCCGACAGAGTGGGCTGCCCCCCTGGACCCTCACAACACCCACGGAGGATGTAGGGGCAGCCAGGCCAGACAGGAGTCTGGAAGGAAAGGTTTAGTACCTTCTGGCCAGAGACAGCACCTTGGTCCTCTTCCTCACCCGCTGTCGGGGTGCAGCACCACTCCCCACCAGGGTGTTGGGAAGGGTAGTTACCTAGAGGGCAGAGGACCAGCTGGCTGAGCCTAGCCGTGTGAGACAGGCACAGAATGGTCGCATTGCTGCGGACGAAGGTGCCAACACAGTCCCACCAACACCTCAGAGCCCCACCTCAGCCTGCAGCTGCTTTGGCCCCCAAAACCCCTCCATTGCCCCCCTAACTCCCACCCCCACATTACACAGCCCTCTCGTTCCGTAGCTAACTCCACCCACCAAGTGCTGTGCCCCCAGAGCAGGGGGTCTCTCTCAAGCTGTCCTGTGTCTGGGATGGCCAGCTGTCCTCCCACCACCCCTTGTCTGATGAGCCATGCTCGTCAGGGGTCAGGGCTGTCACGGGCATCACTCAGGGGAAAACGTTGGCTGCGTGTCCTGCCCTTCCTGGTGTGATCACTGATGGTGTGTGATCACTGATGGTGTCCACAGCTCATGTCACCATGTACCCACCCCGTCACCATGTAGCAGCCAGTTCTAGGCAATGCCGGGGACACAGTGTGCGGCCCGGCCCACACAGCCCAGACTCATCTTCCTTCTGCTGCACAGAGCACTGGGGACGGAGTTTTCCACAAACATTACCAATCAGATGAGAGCGACATACAAACTGCTCCTAGCATGTGACCCTTGGTGGTGAGGGCAGGCCAGCTCCAGCATGTGAGACTCAGTGTGGGCGGCCAGCACCACAGGCCCACGCCCACCCAATAGCATGGCCCCTCGATGCTCACACAGATCCCCAATCTCCATGCCTTCCAGATCTAGGACCCGAGGGATGAGAGCTCGGCACCCACTCATCTCAGGTTTCCGAAACAAGGGAGGGGTGTGTCAGGGTGGGGGCCCTTGAGAACCTACCCAGAGCAGCCCCCCAGGATCTGCAGTCTGTGGGATGGAGACAGTTTCCTGGACCCCATATGCTTCTAAGACGAGCAGGTGGTGCATGCCCCCAGCCCTGCATTCTGTAGGTCATGGGGACCAGCTGGCAACACCAGGCCTACAGTGACTATTTACCTTCCGCATGATCTTCCGGCCATAGAACATCACCTTATCCCTCTTGCGGAACCTGTACTGTGGACTGGCAGGCTGCAGCTGTCCTGGGAGCAAGAGATCCCGGTCATCTCAGCCACACCCTTACTCAGAACTGTGGGTGGCCCGCCAGACACCCTCTCAGATGGGAGAACACAGACCCCAGTGACTTGGCTTCCCCACCCCTATGCCCCGATGTCCCACCCTGAGCCAGGACAGAACATCTCCTGTCACAAGTCAGCCCTCCCCAGCCTGAGAGACACTCACGAGACTGCTTCATCCTTCTATACAGGAGGAAGACACCGCCACTGACCAGCACCAGGACAGTCCCAATTACGAGGCCGATGAACTGGGCGAGAGAATCAGCAAGAATCAGGGAAGAAGGGCGGGCAGGCATGGGGGTGATGTAGGACACAGGCCCATGACCCCAGCAGTCCATGCACTCCGATGCTTACCACAGTCGACTGCAAGCTCTCCTCCATGAGCTGCAGTGCCCAGGAGCCCAGATAGAAGGCGCCCTGGAGCAGAGAGGAGAGAGAGGGTGAAGACCAGGGGAGCTGGGGTGCCGTTGGCCAGTGGTGTCACCCACTGTGGTCGCCCAGTGTCACACAGCACACACACACCCCTGCTTAGGGTACCCTCTTCTCAGGACCCAACACCTATCCCCCTCCCCTGGCAATGATGCCCAGCTCGCCACCCCTGCCACTGTCTGGGATCCTGAGGTCCACACTCCAACATCCTCCAGTGGCAGCTCAGAGGGCATGATCAGAACAACAAGCACAGAGTGGAGGTCAGGAGGAGACCCAAAAAGAAGTGTCTTGTTGGAACACACTTTCTGAGCAGCCCACCTTCCACCAAGGTCCTTGAGACCAGATGCCTGTGGACCTCTGCTTCCGTCCCTGAGGGAGCCCCGAGGACAGCCTGAGCCTGTGGCTCTCAAGAACAGAAATACCAACGCACAAGTGTGTCGTGTGTCGGGTCCCACCCCATCCTCAGGGGAGTAACAGGCACAGAAGGACAAGTGGGCAGGCAGCTGGCGTTCAGGCCCCCCCTCCCCCCTCCGACTCAATCCCTCCCTGGTGACCAGCCAAGCACAGATAGGGGCACACTTGTAGGTCCTTCCAGGAGACACGAGAGCCAAGGGTACAGCGGTCACCCCATTATTCCGAGAGCTGGTCCCCAACGCCACCATGGGATCAACAGCACTGGAGACAGATTCTCAAAGGAGGTTTTGCACCCAGACTGGTTGAATGGCGGCTGTGAGCAAGGAGGGCTCCGGGGCCTGGCCTGCTCAGCCAGGACCCACCAGGGTGGCTGCACCCAACAGTGAAAGGCTGTGAAAAGCTCAGGAGCAGGGGTGAGTGGTCTGGTCAGCTGGGGTCCCACAGCCATGCTGTTTAGGGCCAGGTGCTGGCTTTGGTGGGTAGCAGTTAGCAAAGGAAAGAAACACAGCCATAAAAGAATCCCTTCTCCAGAGATGATGACGTGGAGAGATGGAGCAGCTGGGGACTCTAGACCCAGAGAGGGAGAAGGGACTGTGTGCTGATGACCAGGGGTGTACCCTTCAGCTGCTTGATGATGCATGGAGGGATTATAACCGTGGCAATGAAAT